TCCTTTCCTTTCCTTTCCTTTCCTTTCCTTTCCTTTCCTTTCCTTTCTCCTTCCTTCCTAATTTCCTTCCTTTCCCTCTCCTTTCTTCCTCCTTTCCTTTCCTTCCCTCCCACCCTCTCTCCTTCTACCTTCCTCCTTCCCTTCCCTTCCTCCTAACTTCCTTCCCCTTTCCTGTCTTCCTCCTTTCCTTCCCTCCCACCCTCTCTACCTTTCCTTCCCTTCTTCCCTTCTTTCCATTTCCTTTCCTTTTCTGTTTCCCTCCCATTCCCCCTTTTCCTTTACGTTCCTTACTCTCTCCCCTCCCTTCAAGCGAAGCTGTGCATGCTATGCCACAGTTGTGCTTGTCCCTCCCCGTGGCATGAAAAAGGTTTCCTTGCCTGGAGCTTCAAGCGGGAGGCTCTCTTACCATGCTTCAAATGGACAGCAACCTGTTTGACAGGATTCTCCCCCGGGGCTCAACCCTAGAGGTGGCCAGGTGCTGCACCCACAATCCACAGAGCCGTAAGATTGACTGGTGAGTGTGTGCAGGAAGCATTTCCCCTCCCTGTTCGTTAGACCAAATCGATTTGCGTGTTCAAGATTTGAAAGGGGACTCCAGCTTGAAAGCTAGGCTTTTTCGAAAGAGGCTTCCTGGTTTTCCCCAGTTCTTTAAATTTAAAACATCCTATCATCTCCTGAGCAAACCGTGGAGTTTTTGCTTCCTCCAAACTCGAGGCAAATCCTCTCGGTTTTGTTGATTCTGCTTCTCACTGTCTCCTCTTGTGCATTTCTTCCCGCTCCCTGTATATGTGCTCAGAATCCCTGAAAGCAACCCCAGTCTCACCACGGTCTCAATTCATTTGCTGTTCTGTGGGTAGTATTGTCCTGTGTTGCCTTTAAGTTTTTCGAGTTTCTCTATTGAAATCCTTCATTGTTGTTTTTTGCATTGCTCCTAAAAGCTCCGGGGATTGTAACGTCCTGTTCTCATGTACACAAAAACCTTCTTTCCACCCACCCACCCCCCACTCCTTCGAATTAGTTTCACTGATTAATTTCCTGTAAAGGTATGTACTTTTCAAAGAACCCTATTTCGATATTCCCCTCTCCGTCTGTAAAGCACAGACCCACAAAATACTAGTAAGCATTCTTGAAACCTTATTTTTTTATTGCAAGCACATTAAGCAACTCCCGGTTTCTCTTCAGTTTCAGATCTGCCTTTGAAATAAACTGAATGAAGAGGAGTTGATATTGAAACACGAAAGAAAAAAAAATGAGTTCTTTTTATAAAATCTAGACATTGCCCGAACGGAATGCTTTTGAGTTTTAATGCTCCAGTGTACCCAAGCATGACAAAAACATATATTATTAATTGATTGGCAGATGAAACCATTTCACTTCCGAGAGTATAATTTGCTGTTTTGAAAAGTTGGTTCCTATGAAATGTTTTTTTTTTTCCCCGACCTAAAGCTACAATATGGAAGTCTGTAGAAGATTCTCAGTCACCCAGGTCAGTGTTGTCCCAAAGGTGCATTTTCAGGAGGCAACTGGACTTTTTCTTGTTTTTTTCTTTGAAAACATTTCACTTCTCATCCCAGAAGCTTCTTCAGCTCTGACTGGATGGTGGGGAAGGGAAGTATTTATATTCCTTGCAGACAGAACTGGTCATTTGCATCCTTTTAATGAGCCATTGAGGCCACTTGGAGGTTTGCCTGTGTCCTCAGGGTCACCTAAGGCGTGCTCCTCTTTCCTGTGGCCCGCAATTTTTCCCTCTGGAAATCCATTCCTACTCCCACACCATTCAAAGGATATTCGTACCAAATTGCATAGCTAAAAGTCTGAAAGAAAAAGAAAAAAAACAAGAAAATGCAGTCGCCTCGTAAATTGCAGAAAAAAATTGCAGACTACAGGAACCATTAGCCCCACTCAGGTGACCCCGAGGACACAGATAAACCTCCAAGTGGCCTCAACGACCCTCTAAAAAAAAGGATGCGAATGACCCGCTGTCCGCAAGGAGTATAAATCCTTCCGTCCTTCATCATCCAGTCAGAACTGAAGAAGCTTCTTGGATGAGAAGCGAAACGTCTTCAAAAGAAAAAAAATCAAGAAAGTCCAGTTGGCTCCTGAAAAAAAGCACCTTTAGGATTACAATACGGAAGCATTAATGAGATGGGTCGTGGCACTAATAACCTGGTTGCGACGCCAAGAAAGAAACATGCTGCTTCTGTTACACTATCAATGTCGAAACCTGGGGCCCCGTTTGCTTCTTCCTCATCGACTCAAATCCCTTTCCTGCCCTGATAAGTGGCTTTCAATACCTTTGGGAAATTTTGCAGTAGACGTACTGTGCGCAGGTGATATTTTTAGATCGATGAACACATTTGGAACATTGAAAAGCATGTTGTGGATGTTATTGCGCCGGTGACGCTACCCTAATAGCCAAATAATGCAACGGATCTACAAGCTCGAGGAATAAAAGTCGAGCAGCACGGTGGAAAAAAAAATGGAACTAACATTACATGAAAAGAAGATGGAACTCACGTTTGTAAGCCGCCCAGAGTCACCGAGAGAGAGTTGGGTGGCCGGATAAACCTTAAGAAATAAAGACAGGCTATGGGTAGAAAGGAATTCTAGCTTTAAAATGGACAATTCTAGCCTTCGATGGAGAATTCTAGCCTTAAAATTGACAATGAAGATCTCAAAGTGGTGGGCAGCTTCTGCCTTTAGCACCAGCGGTCAGCACTAAAGGAGCAAGCGGTCAAGAAAAAGGCCCGGCAAACTAAGTAGTGTAACCATGGAGAAGATATTCAGATGCCAGGATATGTTCTGACCCAACCAGGTTCTCAAAGAACAAACACAGACAAAGGCAGCAACCCCCACCTTTTAAGGTTTAATAACGAATTCTGTTCTGAAGGCTGCTTTCCACTAATTAGCTCCGACAAGAAAGAGCCTTGCCAAGTTGTCAAGGCTGCCAAAAACCCAGAGATAAGGACTAATTTACAGAATTTTCCAAACAAGAACTAAGATGTCCACCAGTTGAGCTTCAGAGCTTCTTTGCTTTCTGCAAAGACCGTTTTTTCAAACCTGGCTTTTATCCTCTTGAGGGAGGGACCATTACCGTGCAGCCTTACTCCCGAGTCACCTGTGCTGCTGTAATTGTTCTTTCCTCCGTGCACATGCACTTAGCACAGGCTCCTCGGGAACCTTCTCATCACTGCTGCCAGCCCCCACAATCTCTGAAGGCAGCAGTCCACTCCCTGATGGTCCTGGCCCCTCATCAGAGTCATTGCTCTCCTAAGCTATCCACACCTGCTGCCGACTAACCACAACAGGATTTCTCCATGTCTACAAAGATCAGAAGAGGTCAAACTTTGGACTTCAGGGGTTGGAGAAAACTTCTGAGAAGTCCATTAGCTGCCAAGAAAACCAACCAATGAGCCAAGAGACAAATTGATGCAGATTTTACATGTCCGGGCTCAAATAATCCCACTTTAGACACAGGCAAAGACTTTACTCCCTGGAGGAGGCTGGGAAGCATGGAAGGAAAGAGAAGAAGAGGACAAACAGTAGCCAGAAGGATGGACTATGGTGCAAGGGTGATGGGAACATTATTAGAAGACTCAGAAGAGCAGATTAGGGGCAAATCTTCACAGAGAAATTTTAACTACGCCAACCTCGGCCACTTTAAGACTTGTGGATTTCAACTCCCAGAATCCCTCAGCCAGCAAAGCAGAGGTCTCCAACCTCGGCCATTTTAAGACTTGTGGACTTCAACTCCCAAAATCCCTCAGCCAGCAAAGCAGAGGTCTCCAACCTCGGCCATTTTAAGACTTGTGGACTTCAGCTCCCAGAATCCCTCAGCCAGCAAACAGGTTTGCTAAGATTCAACCATGATTTGATGGCATTTTAGCCTTCCATCAAATCCATTGTTGACATTTTCCCACAGAAGATCAGAATAACAGAATTAATATCTGGTATCCGTGGATTTTCTTGTAAATGAAGGTTAGAAGCCGGCATTTTTCCTTTGTAGCAGTCTGGTTCCTGTTGTCAATTAGAAGGTAGAAATACAATACATTTCCCTGGTCACCACAGGCTTTGATCAGCCCAAATCTTGATGAATCTCAAACGACCAACGATGCCTTACTGATGCTTTGTAGATAGGTAGTCCTCGACTTAACGACCACGACTGAGCCCCAAATTTCCGTTGTTAAGTGAACGTTGCCTCTTTCTTGCCAACGTTAAATGAATCCCTGCAGTTGATAAGTTAGTCCCCCCGGTTGTTAAGTGAATCTGGCTTCCTCCTTTGACCTTGCTTGTCAGAAGGTCACAAAAGGGGATCACCTGACCTCTGGGATACTGCGACCGTCGTAAATGCGAGTCAGTTTCGAAGCATCCGAATTTTGTTCACGTGACCCTGTGGGGAGGCTGCAACGGTCATAAGTGTGGGAAAACAGTCCCGAGTCAGTTTATCCAGTGCCGTTGTAACTTCTGAACGGTCACTAAACGAACGGCTGTAAGTCGAGGACTGCCTGTAATGCGTTTTGCCGGCAATGTGCGCCGCAGGTTTCATGCTCTGTGTTTTTCCTTCCCAGATGTAAACTCGTTCCAGCAAACCACAAAATGGATCGATGACGTCAGAACGGAAAGGGGTAGCGATGTCATCATCATGCTTGTAGGAAACAAAACAGATCTAGCAGATAAGAGGTGAGGAGACAAGATACCCCACTTTTCTGACTCGGCTGAATCTATTTTATTTGGGGGGGTGGGGGAATGGAATCTGTACAGATGGATGGAAAATTGTGGATAGATATAGACAGACAGAGCAGGCCAAGCGCCCCAAATGCAGGTATGTGACCACCAGGGGTGGGATTCAAATTTTTTAACAACCAGTTCTGTGGGCGTGGCTTAGCTGAGGGGCATGGCTTTGTGGTCATGTGACTGGGTGGGTGTGGCCAACTCAATATCGCTCACATCGAGGCACGCATCTCCTCGCCTGGCCTCTCATGGCGGTGGGGATGCTGCAACAGTCGTAAGTGTGAAAAATGGCCATAAGTCACTTTTGTCAGTGCCATTGTAACTTTGAATGGTCACTCCACACAAGCAAAGTACCAGCAAAGGAGGGGAAAAAATACTCCAGAGAAGTTCCTGAGACAGGAAGTCTAGTCCTGCCAAGAATGTAATAAGGGTCAACGGAGAGGCAGTTTGTGTAAGCAACACCAGAATGTTTCCTTCCTGCCTTCCTTACAGGATTAGCCCTGTAATTTCTTCTCTGAACTGCTTAGAATGTTAACAACCGGTTATAGCGAATAGGTGCGAATTGGTAGAATCCCACCCCTGGTGACCACGGGTGGGGTGTGTGTGTGGACCCATTAGAACTTTAGAACCAGGTCGTAAGTAGCCCTGGGGAAGTTCAACAGAACTTCAAGCAGTCACTAAGCGATCGGTCATAGATTGAGGACTACCTGTTATCTTTCCTGCCGACTTGTGGTCTGCTGGAGAGATTCTCCAATCTCTTCTCCCATGTTAACCCTGAAGAGCAAACGCCCCAGTTCAACCCCTCTTTGCTTCACTCTGCCCTCTCCTGTGTCCCATGAAAAAGACGTCCCCCTCGGAGAATACGTTGTTACCTTTATTGTCAAGAGTACAACCTGTGTGTACAATGAGATTGGCTGAGCCTCCCTTCGTGCACACATACACGCACCCCAACACAACTCACAGCGAGGACAGAAGTCCCTAACTCGGTCCCAATCTTATTACACTAGGTGACCTTGTTGCACAACGTACCGGCCCTGCAAGTCTGTCATGCTATGTTGACATGAAGTTATTTTCCGTTCAGGAGTCTAACAGCCCACGGGTGGAAACTGTTTTTCAGCCTGTTGGTGCGGCTAACTCTGCTTCTCTATCTCCTTCCCGATGGTAGGAGAGTGAAGAAGGGCTGACCAGGGTGTGAGTCGTCCCTGAGGATTTGCCTCACTCTTCTAAGGCAGCGAGCCCTAGCGAGGTCATCTAGTGGTGTTGGGACAGCCCACGATGCTTTGTGCTGTGCTCAAACTGTGCTGTGGATGTGACAACAAGACTTGGTTTTATTTTATTTGCAGGTTGTTCAGTTTGTTTTAACCTGTGCATCCACTGAGTGTTGAGCTGTGTGTATTAAGTCTTTCCTGTTAGCTGCCTAATTTTAAATTCCTCACTATTTAAATTGCATTTTATGAGATTCTCTTCTCTCCTTCCCTTGGACTTTGCTTTGTAAATTGCCATGCAAATAAAACCATAAAAGCCATAAGTACAAATCCTTCTAATGAATGGAGATTTTTTCCTTAAAGCATCTAAGAAGATGTAGCAATTGTAACCATTCTGAAACGGTGGTTTTCTTTTTTTTTTCTTTTGCAGTAAGTTTTTTTATTTTTTGTTTCAACAAGCATATCATTATGTGAACTGTGGTTCTGGAGTGTCTTACATTTTAAAACAAATACGACAATATTCTTCATATATAATACAATTGACAATCTTATAAAATTTGGTATTAATACACATATTTTTGTTAAATTATCAATCTTGATTATTCAGTATTACAGTATGTTATTTTTATGTCAACCTTTATATTCTTAACATCACTTCTTTTTCTACAGATATTAATCATATTTGCAGTGTTTAATGAATTATATATTTCTAATAACAATTCACAAATTTATATTCAATTGTAATTTTCCATTGTTTATCCCCTTTTTAATTTTTAATTGTGCCATTATTATATTTAAGAAAAAAATCCCCTTTCTAATCACATTTTGATACAAATAAAATAGTATTCATCATATGCAATTCTAACAATAATACAGTTGTTTTTATTAAATTGTAATCTGTCACAGCTTATGCAATATTTCACTATATTATTTTTATATCACTTAAATTCCACATATTCCTTTTCCTACACAATAGAATGTTAATATTCATATTTATTACATTTAGCAATTGTATACCTTAACTAATAATACACACATTTATGTGGAATCGTAATCGTAATCTTTTTTAAAAACCATCATCTCCCACTCGCATTAAAACTTCAATTATTCCTGAAACGGTGGTTTTCTTGTGGATACGCTCTTTGAGGAATCCAAGACTGCAGTTCTCTTGCTATGATTCTCTTCTTTTCTTTTTCCAGACAAGTATCTATTGAGGAAGGAGAAAGGAAAGCCAAAGAGCTGAATGTGATGTTCATTGAAACTAGCGCAAAGGCCGGATATAACGTAAAACAAGTGAGTAAAATAAGGAGCTGCAGATTGTTACGTCTCACAGCACGGATCTCCAAACGTGGCCCCTTTAAGACTTGTGGACTTCAGCTCCCAGAATTCCTCACGGTATGGCTGGCTGAGGAATTCTGGGAGTTGAAGTCCACAAGTCTTAAAGGGGCCGCGTTTGGTGACCCCTGCCTTACAGTCAAAGAAGAAGAGCGTCATTCCAGGCTTTCAAGATCAGTTACACAAATCATGTAAATGCTTACTCTGAGGTTGTTTGATCAGAATTGAAGGGGCTTGACTTGTCCTCCAAACCACCAGAAGAAGTTATGGGTGAAAACCTGAGAGATCCAATCTAAAAGGAAGGAGAAATTTTAGGGCAGTGAGAAGAATTAATCAGTGGAACAACTTGTCTCAGGGCGGTCCATTAATGGAGGTTTTTCAAACTGGACTGGACAACCCATTTGACTGGGATGGGATCAGAGGTGGGTAATTCAGCAGGTTCTGACCAGTTCTGGAGAACCAGTAGCGGAAATTTTGAGTAGTTCAGAGAACCAGCAAATCCCACCTCTGACTGGAGATTTTACAATATTCTTCCCCCGCCACACCCACCAAGCCATGCCCACAGAACCGGTAGTAAAAAAAAAATGATATAAGATCTCCTGCCTTTATTATTATTATTATTATTATTATTATTATTATTATTATTATTATTATTATTATTATTGTTGTTGTTGTTATTATTATTATTATTATTATTATTATTATTATTATTATTATTATTATTTAACATAAAAATTCAATGTCTTTCAAAAACTGTTGTCTGGATGCAGTTAATTTTGAGAAATAAAAGTAGAAATAACAATATTCATAACAATAATGATCCACATCATAATAATAGTATTTGCTTATCCATTTGAGTAAACATTCCTTGTAAAATTAATCATTCTCTTATACTTTTAAATTTCTAACCTGCTTCTGCTAGTTAGCCATTGATAACACAAATCCCCCGTATTCAATGTCTTCCTTCTCTTAAGGTCTTCTACCTTGAGCAGGGGGATGTGGCAATCCCCATGGTCACTGGATTCAAAGTTCAGACCCTTTGACAACTGACTTATATTTATGAAGGTCGCAGTAGCTCAGAGTCACATGTGTCAGGGCTCCAACAAATCCACCCCCATTCAAATCATAAGTCTCTAGCCTCATCTCTCAGAGAGAAAAAAAATATGATTTATTAGGAGTGGCCATATTGGCGTTAGCTGGGTGCAGCCGACACTAAAATACATCATCCATTAAGCCCCTTGACCCTGGTCTTCCTCCCACCCCCTGGATGTATATTCTCCAATGGGACACATCCATAGCCAAGAGTTATCAATCATGCTCTCCAGTAATAATCTTGCGCACCAATAGCTTCGTCTGCCTAGCAATTATCTGCAGCATCTAAGGAATGCACTGCTTTCCTCACTCCCTTTTCTGCTGGCAACTAAAAAGATGAAAGAAATATTTTTTTTTAGTTGACATTGGTCCCCTTTGGCGACCTTCGGACGAGCAAAGTCAACGGGGAAGCCAGATTGAAGTAACCCTTTTATTAACTTAACAGCTGCAATGATTCCCTTAACTAGGGTGTCCCAAAGGAGCTCTTTTTTGAGGGGGGATTTTCTGGTTTTTCTTTGAAGACGTTTCGCTTCTCATCCAAGAAGCTTCTTCAGTTCTGAGCTGCTCACTTTGGGATGAACACCCTTCGAATGGTGGGGGGCAGATGAACGGATTTCCAGCAAAATTGCAGACTATAGGAACCTTCCATTAAAATGAATGGTTGTTTTTTTTTTTTAATTGAACACCGATTCGAAGGCGTCAATTGCACCTGATATAAAAATCCAGAGCCTTAAAAGCGCAGGGTATTGTCCTTGTCCCCTTCTATTGATCCATCTTGCTTTCCCCCACTCTAACTTCCTTTCTCCGTTTTCCCCCTCAGCTTTTCCGACGTGTGGCTGCTGCTTTGCCTGGCATGGAGAGCACGCAGGAGAAGAGCAGAGAAGATAGTATCCTTTGATCCACGCTCGGTCGGTGAAGCAGTCCGGTCACTGGTGTGGAGGTTTTGGGTGGTGGTAGGGAGCACCACTGCCACCGGCGGAGAGAGGGGGGACAATGTCAAAGCAGACTTGGTTCTGATCCAGTTCCCCAGACCCTCTGAAGTGAAATCAAATTCCCTTTATGAGGAAAGGGAGTATCTCTCTCTTTCTCTCTCGCCGCAGCAGGCGAACAAGCCCGTCCATCCGGGAGATGAGTAGTTGTCTGCCACGCCTCTTTCTCTCCCCCTCCTGCCTTTTATCCCCAGGGAAGGGAAGGGCTTCGCTAGCAGCGGCGGCTCTTCCGTCTTGGTTTGCTCTGTACAAAAAAACCCCTGAGGTTTATTTAAGCCTTTGGGTTTGTTTGCCTGGCTATCTCGCTGTGAGGCTGCTGTGGGCGACTTACAGGAATAGAAAGAATCGGAATGAATATATATATTATATATATATAAAAGCGAAATGCCCCTCACGCATCATCACAAAATCTCCAAAACCATAAAGCCTACAAAGCTTGCAATATGGCCCATAGGTTCATCCTGGCTTCTAGGGGCTCTCACTAAGAAAGGATTTTTGGAAATGACCATCAGAGCATTTAGAGTATTTCCGATATTATTATTATTATTATTATTATTATTATTATTATTATTATTATTA